GCACTATTGGTGATTAAGTATGGATTGCTCCATAAGCCGAGCCATCTGATGGCTCCATAACAAAACTGAAGTATTCATATATGATTTACTTTTATAATAAAATAAATTATTTATTTATTTTATATATGCGATATGAATATTAAATTGAAAATCGATAACGATTATTTTGGTAAATTATATACGATAATTTAAAATAAATACAAAAAAGTTATTAACTTTCAAATATATCTATAATTTTTTCTAAGTAAAGTATTTCATAGTTTAAAAAGTTATAATAAGCATGTATAGAATTCCAAATCTCTACTTGCTCCCTAAAAATCCGACAAACGAAACATTTAAATCAATTGAAAATTCAACAAATAAATCATGAAGCATAAAAAATGGACACATAAGATCGGGACATCCTGTATTAATATATACTGGTACGACATCCGTGTACTACACGGGTGCATAAAAAAAATTAATTTGAATAAAAAAAGTAAAAGAGTGTATTTATTGCAAGTATATACAAAATAAATAAATAAATAAATGGTTCTCAGAAATTTCTTTCTAACAACATTATTAGTTCTACTTAAAATTTATCAACTTGAGAAAAAAAAATGATGAATGTACTAAAATTTATCAACTTGAAATAAAGGACAAGGGCTAAAATTGATTAGAATTGAGATAAGTGACGTGTTTAGTTAATATTTTATTAATTTTATTATACAATTTTTAGCTCAACATTATTCATTACACAAAGAAAGACGCAGACTCAAAAACAAACTAAAATTTATCAACTTGAAAAAATAAAAAAAAATATGATGAATGAAATAAATATTTAGTAAAATAAAATAAGGAAATAAAGATTTGTGTCATAGTTAAATTGAAGACAAAATTGTTAATGAAAGAAAGATTGATGGAGACAATCATGTATGGTGGAAAAATTATATATGATACTTTCTAAGACAATTTTATTTCCAAATTTTTTATCCGAACTTAAATGCAAAACATGATGACATGTAGTATGCTAAGGGAATGTCGATTAGTTAAACAAAATAAATCGTGGTGAAGAAGAATTGATATTAAATGAGCACATAAGATAACCATTAAATTATGTGGAAAGTGAAATCGTGGAATGGGAATAAATCAAATCAAATATGTTCACTCTAAAGATGGAATAATGTTGCGTTTCATTTCCTATAAAAATCCAACTAGTACAACACCCGTGTATTACACGTGTGCTTGTTATAAAATTATTCTTAAATTTTTTAATGAAAAAACTATATTAAATTTAGTTTACCTTTTTACAAAAAAAATATATTACTATATATTTTAGAATGATATGTGTTACTTATGACTTACATGTGTTATATTATATTAGTGTTTATAACTTATATCATATAACTACCTGAAATATAAATATATTAGTAAATAATTTTATTTTTCTAATTAATATTAAAAATAATTTTATTATTGTTATAAAGATAAATATAAATTATTTTTTTTAATATGGATGTTAAATCGAAGCTCATCAAAAGAAGATTAATTTGATATATTACATATGTAAAACTGATAAAAATTACAAAAGTTATTAACTTTTAAAATATATATACAATTCAATAGTTATAATAAGGAATGATGTTAAAGTGCAATTAATACATGTAACATGACCATAAATAATCAATATATTTATGGTAATCCGAACCTAATTATTTTTGGTTTGGAATTATATTAAAATTTACCCAATCCTAATAACAAAGCATGTAATTTTGCCACATAGGATTCCGAAGCACCAGAAGCAGCCACGTAGGCTCAGCGCATTCTGTATTAATATATAGGGGGGATTGGAAAAAATATCAATAGCTAATTGAAGGAAGCAAATCAAAGGTAAGGGATATATTAGACATTTAATTGATCACTATGTAAAATTACAAAGAATTAAAGGGTTATATTAGTACAAGTGTTACTAAATTACCTAAGTTAGTTTAATAATATTTATGGAATGTCTGAACCTAAATTATTAATTATTAATATATCAATATTATTTGTCCAAACCTAATTACGAAGCATGATTCTTCGCCAAGTAGGATTCCGAAGCACCAGAAACAGCCACGTAGGCTCAGCGCATTCGGGAATTATATATAGAGGGGACTAGTACAACGTCCGTGTATTACACGGGTGCTTGCTAATTTTTTTTCCTTAAAATCTAAAATTATTGAAAACAGGTAGTTGAAAATTTAAATATATTTTAAAAATATTTATATTATTATATTTAGTATGACACTTTTTATTTGTGCAATTTACTTGTGTTATATTATAATAATTTTTTAACTTACAACATATAACTACATTTAGCATAAAATATATCAATTGAGAAATAATTTTATTTTTTTAATGAATTTTAGTAAATATTATTATTAATAATATTTTATTATTATAAAGATAAATATAATTTATTTATTTCATATATACAATATGGATGTCAAATCGAAGATCATCAAAAGATAATTAATTTAATATATTATATGTGTAAAACCGATAAGAAATACAAAAGTTATCAACTTTTAAAATACATTTACAATTCAATAGCTAATTGTAGGAAACAAATCAAAAGCTATGGATATATTAGTCACTTGACTCACTATCTAAAATTACAATGAATTAAAGGTTATATTAGTATAATTGATATTAAAATATCTAAGTTAGATAAATAATATTTATGGAATGTCTGAACCTAGATTATTAATTATTAATATATAATATTATTTGTTCAAACCTAACTACGAAGCATGATTCTTCGCCAAGTAGGATTCCGAAGCACCAGAAGCAGCCACGTAGGCTCAACGCATTCTGGAATAATATAGAGGGAGGATAAAGGGATATATGTAATAAAGTAATACACTTCAATTCTACCACACTTTCTCTTCATTTTATTTTGGCCTAATTGTTGGTAAAATCATGACCTTACGACTTTTTGCCGTTTTAACCAAACTTTTGGAATTTAGCAAACATAACATAACTTTTATATTTTTTGGCAATTTGAATCATCGGGCCGGATTTCGGGCTTTGTCTACAGTGCCGATAAAAAATGGCGATAAAAATATAAGCGACGCTAGGTTCGAACCTAAGACATCAAGATTGTAATATAACATTGGAACCACCAGACCAACCCAATTTGTTTGATAAATGTAATAGCATTTATATATATAGACACTGCGTATGAATAAAACAAATCAAATGCAAAAATATAATGTAAATTATATTAAATTATATTAATAAGATATAAACATATAATAATTAAAACATAATAAAATAAATTATATAATATTAAAAAAAATTAAAATAAAGTAAGATAAAATAATTTATAGTAGAGTAAATTTAAATTTAACTAAAATTTTATATTTCATATTTATTAAAATGAATTTATATATTTCATAATTATTAAAATATTTAAATATAGTAATTTAAAAAATTATTTATATTAATTTTTTCTATAATTATTAAATAAATTGTTATAATCAAATAATATTTCGTTATTTTATTATATTCATTTTTAATATATTAAGTTAATAAATTATTTAAATTATTTTTAATAAATTATTAAAGATAATTAAATAAAAAATTATTATTTGAATATAGTAATTTAATAAATTATTTTTATTATTTTTAAGATAATAATTTAGTAAATTATAAATGATAATAAAATCAAATAATATTTCTTTATTTATTATATTCACGCTAACTCACGCAAATCATGACTTCAAATCATGATTTTATATAATTAGTTTTTTTATTTAATATTATATAATTTATTTTATTATGTTTTAATTATGTTTATATCTTATTAATTTAATTTAATATAATTTACATTATATTTTACATTTGATTTGATTTATTGATACGTAGTGTCTATATATTAAATGCTATTACATTTAACAAATTGCTTGTGTTGGTATGGTGGTTCCAATGCTATTATACAACCTTAAGGTCCTAGGTTCAAACCCCTAGCATCGCTTATATTTTTATTGCCATTTTTTATCGCCACTGTAGACAAATCCCGAAATCGGCCCGGTGATTCGAATTGACAAAAAATAGAAAGGTTATGTTATGTTTGCTAAATTCCAAAAGTTTGATTAAAACGGCAAAATCGCCACTGTAGACAAAGCCCGAAATTTAGCCTGGTGATTTGAATTGCCAAAAAATAGATGTCGCCAATGTAGACAAAGCCCGAAATTTGGCCCGGTGATTCGAATTGCCAAAAAATAGAAAGGTTAAATTATGTTTGCTAAATTCCAAAAGTTTAGTTAAAACGGCAAAATCGCCACTGTAGACAAAGCCCGAAATTCGGCCCGGTAATTCGAATTGCCAAAAAATAGAAAGGTTATGTTATGTTTGTTAAATTCTAAAAGTTTAGTTAAAACGGCAAAAAGTTATAGTCATGATTTCACCGAGAATTAAGCCTTTTATTTTTGTAGAATTTGGGTAGCTGCATCGCTTATATTTTTATAGCCATTTTTCATCGCCACTGTAGACAAAGCCTGAAATTTGGCCCGATAATTCGAATTGCCAAAAAATAAAAAGGTTATGTTATGTTTTTTAAATTTCAAAAGTTTGGTTAAAACGACAAAAAGTTGTAAGGTCATGATTTTACATGCAATTAGGCCTTTTATTTTCGTAGAAATTGGGTAGCTTGAGTTTGAGCCAGATGTGCCATGGCCACGCTTTGAAATTCAGGGTGGACGGGGTTTTGCAGGTTCAGAACTCTTTGGTTCATTTGTACTCTTGCTGTAGGCTCATGGACGATGTGCATATCGTGTTTGATGAAAAGCTTACGAGAGACTCAGTCACGTGGAACACAATTATTCATGGTTTTGCAAAAGTGGGTGAAATGGGATTAGCCCATCAACATCAAAGTGTTTGATGCAATGCCTGATAAAAATGTGGTTTCTTGGAATATTTTGATGATGGGGTACATAAACTTTTGCAAACCGGGCAATGTCTTGAAGTTATTCAGACAAATGACGGTCGTGGGTTTTGTTGGTAATGGTACCACCTTGGTGCAAGTAGTTGCGGCACGTGGGAGGTCCAATAAGTTAAAAGAGGGAAAATCAGTTCAAGGGCATTTCGTTAAGCAATTTTCTCAATTTAATTTGCTCATATCTACTGGCCTGGTTGATATGTATAGCAAATGCAGCAGGGTTGATGTTGCTCGTTTAATATTTGATAAAATGCCGACCATGAATACGATATCTTGGAATGCCATGATCTTGGGGCACTGCATTCACGGTAATCCAGATGACGGGCTGAGTTTATACAAGCAAATGGTGGATACGAAATTAGTTGGGCATAAAAATGAGGTTGAGCCCGATGAAGTCACTTTTATCGGTGTTTTATGCGCTTGTGCCCGTTTAGGAATGTTGACAGAGGGAAAATTTTACTTTTCTCAAATGATTGATGTGTTTAGATTGAAACCCAATTTTTCGCATTACTGGTGCATGGCTAATCTAATGGCTAGAGTTGGTTTACTGCACGATGCCATGAATGTCTTAATGAATATCCCGACCGATGGCGATGATGTGGAACGAGAATATTCTTTATGGGCAACATTACATGGATCGTGTCGGTTCTTGGGGGATGTGACTTCGAGTGAAAAGATTGTTACAGCATTCATCGAGCGAGACCCACAAAATTTATATTACAATTTGCTGGTTAACATTTACGCATTGGCAGGTAAATGGGAAGAAGTTGCTAGGACAAACCTTGCTGTAATCTCAAGGACTTGAATGAAATAGTTTGCAATGTTAAAGTTGAAGGTGTTACCGATTTGCATACGCGTCTTTGATGGAATGAAGTACTTTTGACCGTTTGCTTTATTGATATGAATTTTCTCTTGAAACTCAACTTGAAAAGGATCAGCAGAAAGTGCTTCATCATTTGTCCAGATCGATTTTTGCTCATTAGTTCATGTAAAAATTCCAATAGATTTTATGTTTCCAGAAAGTTGGACATTTTTTTAGTGTGTTCTTGGTTGAGATAGTAATGTACTTGCAAAAAAAGAAAATCAGAACAGAAGTTTCCATATTCATGGTGATGTTTTTACTGTTGGTTTTTTTCTTTTCAGTTTTCTTAATTTGATAGAACTATCAAATTCTTTGGCACATTTATGCTTTCAACCTTTCTCAATGATTATTTACATGTTCTGACTTTTTTCCATGACTTTATCAAATTACACCGTGTTAACCCGTCATGTTATTTTTCTCAGTTCTCAACCATAAAAAATCTGTATTTCATTATTAGCATTCAATTATGCAATCATGTTTGTTACAATCTATTCATGTACAGAATTACTATGGAATATATTCCAGATTGCTTCAGGATTTTATTTCTGCAAACTGGCTTTCTCTTTAAGAGACATCAAAACCGCCTTGCAAGCTAGTTTTTTCGCCATCTTTTTATCTACAGACGAGCGACTTTCCTTATACACAACGCCATGTGCCTCAGCCTCAATCGTAGCATATGTCGTCCCATTTTTACGAGAAATCAAAGGCTTCTTGAATATAAAGTGTTAGAGTAGTATACCCGGCGTTCCAATCAGATTGGACGTATTCTACTTGTAAATACAATCTATTGGAATTATATTAATTAATAGGCATTACTTTATCTTAAGAGTAAGCATTTATACTATATTTGCACTTAAGATAAAATCCCTAGATCACACATAGCTATAAGATATGGTTGCGCATAGAGATGGTGATCGTGGAACATATTTTGAAAGCTGTGATCTTAAATACAGTTCCAAATCGTTGGATGTTTCGAGATGGGTTATCGAATAATCCAGAAAAGACTTGCACATAGTATGTATGCTTGTTGGACAAGAATGTTGTATTCCATCAACATTAGCGTGGGACGCAAGTACATATATGTGGGTGCTTGTTAGAGAACAAGTTCACTGAACATGACCGTATGAAAATTTTTAATGAAAGATTTATCTTGTCGAATAAGATTTTTCATGTTACAATAGTACATGATTAATCCTTAGACTTGAGGCACAATGGTAATTTTGTACATATTATATTTTACTTTGATTTATCCTTTTGATTGCTAGCACAATCGTATAAAGGGATATTTTGGGTATTATATTAATATGTATGGAAGTTTGTTAGTGACCAACAAAGGATTCGACACTTATGAAGATAAGTGAATTTCCTATGTGTTTCATAGTTAGTAATTCAAAGTCCTTGGCCAAGGCGGGATGAATAGAGATTCATAATCGAATTACTAAACTTTAAATGGAATCATAGTTATTAAATCAATTTGGGTTTCGACAAAATCATACCCAAAGATTTAATCGGGAAATTGAATGTCGAAAGGATTTTACATGTATGGACTTGTAATCAAAATAGGTTTACTCGTTATTCACTTAATACTAGATTCATGCTACTTGCTAGATGTTCTCATGATATATGAGTTCTTGAATTAAAGAGTTAGTTCAAGAATAAGAGTTAATAAGATTAACTCAAATTACAAAAAGTTGTAAACACACTACTAGTATTAATTGTGAACCTAAAAGGTCACACCAATTTTTGAATGAAGGTAAAATTCAAATAGTAATTCTAAAGAGTTAGGATTGTCAATTTATAGAATATATTAAATTAATCAATTGGATTGATTAATTGAATTTTGGATATTAATTTAGTAATTAATAGAATTACTAATTAATAGTTGGAATTTAAAATTAGATTTTAATTTCAAATCCAAATAATAATAAGATTATTAAATGAGGAAATGGAAGAAAAGATTAAAATAATAAAGTCTTGAAAAATGTTTTCAAGAATTATTATTTTATTATTTTATCTTTAATATGATTAAAGATTAAAATAATTAAGAGACAAAATAATGGTGGTTGATGGTGGTTAAGAACCACTCCACATTATTAATTAAAAATCAATATTTGGTATGAATTTTTAAATAAAATCTGATTTTATTTAAAATAAATAAATATCAAATATTGATTATTTTATGCTAAAATGTTTAGTATAAATAGGTGCAAAATGTTTGCACATTAATTGCTAAGTCTTCCATTAAGTTTTGCTAAGTTCTTCCAAGAGAGAAATACATTCAAAGAGTTGAGTGATATATCAAGAAAGAGTTTTGAAAATTTCTTTATAAATATATATATTCCATACTTATTGAAAAACCGAATAGTTTCTACTAGCGAAGAAGCTATCATCGGAACCGGAATTCGAAAGGTGGATACGTTTAGAGGGAAGACGATTGGATTCCTAAAGCTAGTAACCACAAGCACAAGAAGTGAAGTGACGTTACCAAACCGGGAATTGATTGCCTCATCAATCTTCGGTTTTTGAAGGAGTTCAAGAACTAAGGTAATTTTATATTTAAAATTACATATCAAATCAAAATTAGTAAAAGTTACTTGATTATTTTAAATGATGCTTATTCGTTATATCGTTATACTTATGTACGGAATAAGTATTTATAAGATAAATACTTATAAAATTTTAAAATTCTGCTGCTTTCTTTGTTCCGTACGGTATATCGAACCCAACATAAAGTGCTCCCTTTGACACAACTCAGTCAACTCTGTAACTGGATGAATCCTCAAAGTCTCTGGCGTGATTAACGGCTCAAGAAGAGGCTTCATACTCCGGAAAACTATTTCCTTATCGTAACCTGAGTCGACAAATATTGCTCCCGCTAGGAATTCTATTATGCCAAAAGTGGTAGTCGAGTTCAATTCTTGAAATTTGCTAATTGTTTCGACTATATGTCGGTGAAGGTCGTTCGAAAGGTAAAGTAGATGTTTGTGCAGCTCCGCGTTAATTGCTGACTGATCATTATTGACAGATGCTGAACTCAGATCAGTTAGAAGTCTCGGAGAAATGCCAGGAAATTTAAGGTACATGTGTACCGTAATTAGGTAGTCTAGCACAACATCCCCAAGAAACTCGAGACGTTGAAAGATTGCTATGGAATATATTCCAGATTGCCTCAGGATTTTATTTCTGCAAACTGGATTTCTCTTTAAGAGACATCAAAACCGCCTTGCAAGATAGTTTTTTGGCCACCTTTTTTATCCACAGACGAGCGAGTTTCCTTATACACAACGCCATGTGCCTCAGCCTCAGCAGTAGCATACGTCATCCCATTTTTACGAGAAATCAAAGGCTTCTTGAATATAAAGTACTCCCTTTGACACAACTCAGTCAACTCCCTAACTGGATGTCCTCAAAGTCTCTGACGTGATTAATGACTCAAGAAGAGGCTTCATACTCTGAAAAACTATTTCCTTATCATAACCCGAGTCGACAAATATTGCTCCCGTTAGGAATTCTATTATGCCAAAAGTGGTTGTCGAGTTCAATTCTTGAAATTTGCTAACTGTTTCGACTATATGTCGGTGAAGGTCGTTTGAAAGGTAAAGTAGATGTTTGTGCAGCTCCGCCTTAATTGCTGACTGGGCATAGCAATCGTTGTTGATAGATGCTGACCTCAGATTAGTTATAAGTCCCGAAGAAAGGCCAGGAAATTTAAGGTACAGGTGTACCGTAATTAGGTAGTCTAGCACAACATACCCAAGAAATCCGAGACGCTGAAAGAAAAAAAAAATGAACGAGAATTAAATGTAATGTTGACCAAAACAAGTCGAAGAAAAAAACAATGATATTGGGAAGAAAAGAAAAAGGGCAAAATAGGTATTGTTACCTGATAGCATCCCAAAACTTCTAGCTGCATAAACGACCGCGTGTTAAGGCCTCGACCAAGAGAGAAACATCCAGGAACTTATAACCTAAAAGAATCTCCAAATGTCTTATATTAACAAGGAGTTCTGGGTTCGTACACATGTTCCTAGCATACGGTAGACTGATAAATTCGACACTTATGCCAATCCATGTCATAAAAGACAAAGCAGCTATTTCGCCTTTCGCACTAAGGAAGGCTCCGATTAATGCCTCGGTCACATCCGCCACATTTTCACTCTTTATTTTTCTGCTCCGACCAATATATACTTGTTTAGACGAAAGCATCTCTTCCTGTAGTATGTGGTCAGGATTATAAGACCCTAGTAGTATCCATGTTTTTATATCCAGTGGTTCGTTTCGGATAAAGCCCTGAAATTTATAAATGGTCCATTATAAGAAACTAGATGACCCATTATAAACGGCATATTATTGTTATTCATTACCATGAATTTGCGGAGGCATCTAAGCTTGCACATATTACCGTTGCAAATGATTTTCTCTCTTTTGACACTTAAAAGCCCCTCGTGCCTATTTTGATATATTTTGAATAGTTGTTGACTAACGACGTATTTGAGGAAAGAATCATCAAGAGTCTCCAAGGATTCCAAATGAAGCTTCTCTTGGCATTTCTTTGTTGTGATACCCTCCAACACCTAATTAAAATTATAGCACGATACACAAATGGGTGCTTAAATATTTTTTGAAGCACTTAAAAACATCAACTTAAACCTGAATAACATTTTACATCATTTGATCAGTAAACTAGAAAGTACAGAGGTAGAATGTATAAATACCGTAAGGGTTGGAATAACATTTTGGTGCGTGCAGAGACCCAAAGCCATACATCTCAAGTTGGCAGCAATAAGAAGTGACTCAAGCCGATGCATAACAGATGGAAGAAATGAGAAAGAATAGAATGTTGAAATCGATACGGGGGACATGATGATAGAGCACAACTCTGGAGGTAACTCGCATGAGCTATTTCTTGTTTCTGCATAAAAAAAGTTGAATAAATAAGGATA